GCTGCTGGTGCCTGCCGCCTCCGCCGTGTCCTGCCGCTGCTCGTGGCCTCCACGGTCCATGCTACTGTCCTACAAACGTGTCGTATGTATTTGCGCACGGGACTCACCTCACTGTCAATAAAAGGTATGCTCAAAAACAATTATGCAGTGTTATTGCTCGTAACGAATTCATTAACCAGTGCTTTATCTGATTCTATCTGTAGCGCTGAAGCATTGAAGCAAGGGCGACCAGGAAGTCCACCGCCGTAGGCACCTTGACGCTTGTGTAGCCCACGGTATACGAGTCTCTCACGCTTGTCCATTGCGTGAACGCCACAGACGTGCTTTGCCAGCAACGTGCGGATGCATGCCGCAAACTTCATCCAGTAACGACACGGACACGTCCAAGACAGTGTGTTCACTGGCCAGCCACCTTCAGGCATCCCCTCAATCTCCATTCTGGCTGTCTGCTCACCGAGCTGGGCCGTTACTGGAAGCGCCTCGCGGGAACGCTTTGCCTCAGGGTCAAAGACAGGGGTACTTGGCGAGAGAAAACCCGGACAACATCGGTTGCAGAGTCGCTTCCACCTTCCTCGGCATTGCTAAGCAGAAATGCAATTGCGTTGCGGAGACATTGCAGCTCCAACAACATTCCGGCTTTCCTCATTGCACTAACGCGTCGGACAAGGGTGACACTTGGTGCTGGGTCTACAGCAAATGATCTGGAAGTGGTGCTTTCGTGTGTGCAGCATGTCATTAGCTGACGCAGCAGGGAGCCCATTTTCATCCTTACACGCTGCGTGTAATCGCGTTTGAGGGACGCGTTTGAGGGACGCGTTAAACGTTTCAACGGGATTATTCGTGACAGCAAATGCTGGAGGAGTATGGGAGACCTGCCATCTCCAAAATCGACCGGTTAACCATTGTTGCTTGAAATATTCCGTGAAGCTCTCGAGGCCCGGGTGCAGCGCCCAGTCGTTCAAGATTCGTGTTTTGGCTTCTTCATACTCCAACTCACTGGCGGCAAAGTGCAAGTCATGCACACCACTAGTCACTACAGTGTAGAGAGAATGGTGAAGCTTCCTAGTCTTCTCATGCACTTTTGCAGCTACATGGTAAAAGCACATAAGCACTTCAACTTCGTAATCAGCTCCGAGTACACGGACAACGGCATTGTATTGAGCGTCGTCTGCGTCACCCATTGCAAATCGGACAGCTAATTGCTTACCGGTCACTTGAGAGTAGACCTTCCGGAGAGCCATTAACGCCTCAGAAAAATGAATTTCTTTCCTTTGTGAAGACACAAAAATTGCCATAAGATGAAACTTTCGGCAACAGTCTGTAATGCCTACGACAAACACAGGGTAGTCCACGTGGTTCAATTTGAACGTTGCGTCCATGTCCAGGACGAAAGTCGCAGGATTCCGATCTGCCTGGCGTAGTAGTGTCTTCGATGACACCCCCACCAAAAACGGGTTCTCATCAGCTCCCGACCCAACGTACGGTCTACCATCTTCTTCCGTCCTCCACGTGAATGAAAATGCATCGAAATCTTGCTCTTGGCCTGTAAAGGCTGTTTCCCGTATCATACGCCTCAAGTCGTCGAGGTAGTCATTAGCCCCAACGGTTTTGGAAAGGTAGTTGTAGACAGAACGTTGCACGACCTTAAGTTGCGGCAACGTATCGGGGCCAAGGTTAAACTTTCTCATTAATCCGGTGCGGATACGCGCTGGCTTTAGTCCTTGGACGGCCATCTCGTGAGCGAAATTTTGCATTGCTCGCGTCATGTGGGGTGGCTGAGGCGATCGGCGTGTGCTTACGTGCGAGCCTACCTTGAAGAGATCAAGAAGATCTTGTTGCTCGCACTTAAGCAGCTTTCCGCGCCACTCGTATCGAGCATACGGCATTGCAGCTCTACACTCGTCGCATGCACAGCGTAACAGGCGCTTTCTCAAGTTGTGGGGTGTAGCGTTGGTGCAGACCGTGCATGGAACATGGTAGCTCTTTGCAATTTTGAAGCTTTTAAATGACTCCAGAAGTAGGTCGATGTCTTCCTGGTTCAGTCCGACAGCGAGTTCAGTCCAGGGTAGGGCACGAGGCACAGTTTGACGGTGGAGGGGGGGGGGGGGTAGCTGCGTGAAGTCTTTAAAAGTGAGCCTCTGTCGCCCAACGCATTTGCCTCCTTTGTAGTGTGCTATTGGTTAAAACAGTGTAATTGGTGTGTTTTGACTGGGTACTAAATGAATGGCTATAATAATAGAGGATTTCAGTGTCAGTACAGACACTTTGAGTGCTGTCAAACTCTATTCGGGACTACTAATTGTCCAAAGATGCAAAAAGAGGGGTTTACGGTGCTAGTAGTATAGTGTGAGTGGTGTATAATTTTCTTAGGTGTTTTGAGGACGTTCTCCAGAAAACCTTCGCTGAAGATGGTTTTGGATGTTGGAACTGGTGGGAAAAAAACGCGCAAAATATATAACCAGATAAATTAATAGCGGTTGCTTGTTGCACGAAGATGTGACTGTCGCCGACAGGGTCAACATTCATGTAGGTGATTCAAAAGCAGCACAGGTATTAGTGATAAGGACAAAATACCATAAACACTATAGGAACCGGCCTCCACCACTCTGATAGCACCACAAACAAGTGCAGGTCCAGTATTGTACCCAGGGCCAGTGGCGTGTCACACCTGGTGCACACCAACGCTACAGTAAAACCACTGTAATACGTGATATCCTGATATACATGATAGGGAATTGAGTCCACCAACTCGGTTCCTAACAGTTACTGTTGAGTGAAAGTTGATATTGCCCAAACCTGATATCTGATAGAAAATATCGACCGAAATCCTAATGTGCAAGTGGGGCTTATGAGCGTGACGTCGAAGTAAAAAAGCTGGTAATTGACGTCTGAGTAAGTGCTTCTTCTGTTTCAACTCGAAGCTGTTCCCGAACACGCGACTGAAGAGTGCGAAGGTCCTTCATCAGCGTGTATTCCAAGTCGGGGTGATCCATTAGCGTAAGTAGCACATTGCGGACAGCATCTACACGGTCTTTGATGGTTATTTCCTGGACGATCTCATCAGCAGTGTCAACATCCTGTGTGAGCTCTTCCCTGCCGTTATCATCGGTAGTCTCAAGAAACGCTTCGGCACTTGCCTCGCTTAGCAGCTCCTCGCGTGTAAATGATTCCATATATGTATCCGTTTCAGTAGAATTGCAAACGAAATCATCGGATCCCGAATTCGAAGTAGCTGCAAGCATTCTTGGAACTCACCACGCAACATTGTGTCGATCTCCTTCTTCGAGCGGCGGGATGACGAAGGTCCAAGTACTATAACAGTGTGTTTAAAGCAGTTAAGAACAGTCTCGCTGTCTATGTCCTTCCAGCACGATTTTACCCATCTCATAGCACACAGTTGATCAACCGCGTAAATATTACAACTTTGCTCCGATTCCTCCAGATCTAGTACGTGTTGTAGCTGACGGTGCCGGTACCGCCGTTTCAATGCCGCTGTAATACCAGCGTCTAAGGGCTGCAGCTTGGACGTAGTGTTAGGGGGTAGGAAGTGGACGGTCACATTCTGCAGCTCCAAGTCCGTGACATTATGCGAAGAAGCATTATCCATGAGCAACACAACGTTGCGCTTATGACGCTGCATGTCTGAACCAAATTCCCGCAGCCAGTCCCGGAACAGCAATCCTGTCATCCAGGCGTTTTTGTAGTTCTTGTAGCTGAAACCATGCTCAGTGCCGTTTTTCTTCTTGAAGCACCTCGGCTTGTTCGCATGCCCAATGAACAACGGATCGCGCATGTCAGATCCGTCTGCATTACACGTAAGAGCAAGTGTGATTCTCGTCTTACTCTTTTTGCTGCCTTCAATCTGCTCACGAGCAATAGTTCGGTCGGGGCACAAGATGTAAAATAGACCAGTTTCATCAAAGTTGTAGATGTCTGCTAGCGCAAAGTCCTTCACCACGGGCCGTCGATCAGTTAAGGCCGACGCAAAATTTAACCAATGATATCATCTCGTTTCAAATACCAATCTTGTATTGGTAAATAAACACTAAATACGAAATCTTTCAATCTATATCTGTGGATTTGGTGTTGAGCACCCACAAAACTGTTGGTGTCAAAAAGAGCTCGCATCCAGCAATGCGCCATGGCTCACCAACGAACACTGCGCATAGCACTGATCACGCACATGCATGCATTGAAATACACAGCGCCCTCCCTAACGACGTGGTCACACGAGCTGCCTTGGCAGCCACGCGCCGATTTCTTTAGCTGGGCCCTCGGCAAGACAAGAGCTGGCTACAGCACGAATGTTTCGTAGGAGCTCGCTCATCTTCTCTCACTCCAGTACATAAGTACTTGTTTCTCGCATTTCTATCTACAATATTATGCATTCGAAGCATACAGTGATATACCTTTTTGTATTGCTTAATATGTAGCTGTCATAGAAATGTTTTGAAGTCTGTAGCTGCCATAGCAGCAGCTAGCAACGTTACGCGATGTGTCGCGATTGACAAATGAAGTACCTCACCGGTGGTACCTGTATGAATAAATACACTATGCTATCTCACGAAGGTCGAAGATTATGGAGTTTCATAGGAAACCTAATCGCTGTGGGTCAGACTCGCAATTCTCGCCACCAGCTGTCATTTTGCTACTAAAATCAAGATTAAACGCGGCCCTTAACTGATCGAGACTGAATTTGAGGCATCGATTTCAGCACCAGATTATTCTCTCACACTTACTGGTTGAGAGATGAAAAAATTATCAAAAACCAATAGCAGAGACTGTCAGCTTTCCAGACCTGCAAAGCTTTTTGATTTTGCGCTAGCCGTTCCCAAGTTATGGGCCTGTGTAATGATCGACCTGTCGGCGACCCTCAACTGTTTTTTTTCCTTACGTGTGGAAGTTCTATTGCTTCGCGGCGTGCACTAGGAAAAGAGTATATTGTTGGAAACGTGCCGTATGGTTCACACTGGTAACCATGTAGCGTCATGCACAGAGTACGTGGACGGACACCAGATGCAGTTCGGTAAAAAAATTAAATGCAGAACGTCTTCAGCTTACTTTTGTTGATTATGGCCTGCCTAGTAATGCTGTTCATTATCAAGTGCGTGGGTGTTGTTCATAGGTCTCCCAGCAGCAGCTTGTGTGGGTTGCCCGACTTCTCGACCAGGACCTCGATAGAAAAAGCGCTCTCGCTCTCCATTGTGAGCTCGATCCTGCATGGACAGTGATAACGCGTGGTGTAGGGGAGCCAGGCGGCGCTGCCTTCTCATTGGCAGTGCTCCTGCTGCAATCCAAGGTGAAAGTACGTATTCTGGGACGCTTTACTGCAATCTTGGTTACGACTATGCAGTTGATGGTATTTTTGACACGTTGTCAGTGATAAGAGGTATTTGTGCATGTAAAAAGAGACAATCAATACTGAATAACATTTGTGCATCGTGACAATTTGTATATAGGGACACCTGAATTAACCAATCAGCATAGAGTAGTCATTTTTAAGCCCTCAACTGTCAACCAATTGTTCAAAAGGACACACCTATTTATACGCACCACAAATCAGTGGGTAGTTGGGAAGAGGTTGCAGACTGATAGTGTGGCGAGGGAACAAAGCAGCTTATTAAGGAGACGCCGGCTCAGTAACCAATTCTGGTGAAGTCCTGACCTGGAGCTTTATGTTATCGTCAGATCGTATTTGTCTCAACTTTGACCGCCACTGTGATCGAGATTTATTTTAAAAAATAAGTGAAGTGCAAAAATATTAGCATCTCCACTCTAAAAAACTTATTTTTCAAGATAATTATTACGAATTCGTGTTTAACTCGAATTTCACGATACTGTGCGTCATACGCAAAGACAGACTTTTTGCGACTGTTATCTAGTATGAATACAAACTGTGAAAGCGCGCCAACTACCTACCCTACCTTTCGGTAGTAACGTACTCGCCCGACTAAAACCCGGGCACAATTGAATAGTGTCAAGCCAAAGGGATCCAGAAGGCTTTATTAAGGTACAGTGCAGTATTATCGGAGTCTATTCTTGGAGTCTATTCTCGAAGCCTACTTACCTACCACTGCAATATCGTCGGGCGCATCGTCCAAAGCGTATAGGTTGAACTGATCAGCGTTCACAATGATAACCAAACTTTAGGCGAGAGCCCAGCAGTAATTGCTGACCACTGTTATTAACGGGAGGTTGGGTGAAGACAAGGTACTAATTGGTGGAGGGTACTATTTAATAGGGCAGCTGTTGGTGGTCAGGATTATAGTGGACCGATTCCAGCAGCTCAGATTGCTGTCACAGACCTAAATCTGGGGCTCCACCCGCAGTAATTTTGGAAGCACCGTAACTCAGATTCCCACTCGTACAAACAAAGTGTAACGGGTTCAATTCCTCCTGCCCGACGCGCTGGGCAAATCGTATAGGTTCTGTGCCTGCTGCGTGGTGTAGCCCTAATCCGTCGTTGAGTCACCACATGCAATACTAACACACTTCAATGGCCGACAGATGCTCCACTTGAGCTCTGTGCCGGAGTTCTCGGACTCCTACTTTTTGCATTCTTCTCTTTGGCTTTAACTACTCAGCTAATAGCGTTTCGTTCTTCTCGTCTCTCTCTTCGATCACTTCTCGTTTTCATGAACTTGTAGTCTCCAACCAGCTTCACCCGTCCTTCTCGAAGCACCGTGACGTGCAGTCGACCCAGACCACGCTCAATCTCAAAGCCACTTGGGCATACGCCTCAGGCGCCTACCCTACTCGTGCGCGGCCACCACAGCAAACTCGGGTTTCTTCAGCTCCCGTCAGGTCTCCAATCCGTCCTCTCCGCTCGTCCGTTCCTACTCGTCCGCTGTTCACAGTCCCGCGGTGCGTCCCCCAAAGTCCTCAGTACACGCCTACCAGACACTCTGTGTGCCCCAACAGTCGTCTTCGTTTGTCGTTGTGCTCACGCTAGACACCTCGTGTGTCTCAACAGTCGCCTTCGTTTTCGTCGTCGACTTCTTCAGTCTTCGACCGTTCGTCCTTACCCCTCAGTCCGTCCTTTGCTCGTCTCGGCAGAATCAGGAGTAAGTTTGCCCTTACCCATCTCGTTGGCCAACTCCTCGAACTGCTATCGCGCACCACCCGCGATCTCCGTCCTAGGAGCGTTCCTAACAAGAATCACGGATCGTGATCCTATAAGTAGTTCGGGGTTGTTGGGATCGTGCGATCAACTCCGTTCCGAACGGTACCAGGATCGCTATCGATGCTGGGGATATGGTTGGGGATTTCAGAAGGTAACCACTTCTGCATGCATTGCCGCACTTCGAGATGGAGGAGACTTCGAGCACAGCAGGGGGTGAAGCTACAACAAGCAGCAAATGGACTACCCGCCAAAAACCCATCAGCAAGCGAGTGGTTAAACCTCCGATTTCTGACGACTACTCAACATGGAACGTGGATCAATTGAACTCAAAAACTATCTGTTGCAAAGAACACGAAGAAAGAAGACCGGGTGTCCATCCTTAACGCCTACGATGAGTCTAAGGGCGGGGCCGCGCTGCTACTGACCAAGCAGCGCCTCGGTAAAAGGTCTAATACGGATGAAGTTCGGCGAACCGTCACTGCGTATTTCGACTGGTCAATGTGCTGTTTTCTAATGATTTCTTCGGGCGCTTCATTTCATCCGAAGACCAGCTTACAAAGTAAGATCTAGACGAAGGGGGTACATGATTCTGGGAAGACGTCGCTGCAGTGTTTAATACAACTTGTGAGACTTTTGATAGTCTCATATAACAGACTCATTGTTGGAAGCGATTTGCCCCGAAAAAATCACTGCGCATTCTGCTGCTAAGCTCAAGGCAATATGGAAAGAAGTGCACTTGAATTTCTTTAAAGCAGAGGCGCGTAATAAAACCTCTGGGACCCATGTTAGTTTTGGGATTTCTGCAGAGGTGGCAAAGCTGTGATGTATCTCAATCTTTGGTGTGACGAACGCGGGGGTGGACACGAGTTTTGCGCAGGGTGTGTATACGAAGACAACGAAGACGACTCAACCAAAGAGTGTGCTGCAAGAGTTGCTGTACAATCAACTAACCGCAACATCAAAAGAATTCAGACCCGATATCCGCGGTGTCGGACGTCCGGAAAAAGTTGGTCGACGCAGAAACAACCTGAAATATTCCCCTAATAACGGAAAAATTGCATTTGCGCACTGTCAAAGAGAAAGAATTGAGCGGGATGACAAGACGGAAAAGCTCGCAGCCATTGATGGCATACTTGTTCGACCGCGAATGGCTTTTGCACACGTTGAGGAGCAAATACATGATCGCAACGTCAAGGGCATGCCAATTGCCACTCTACGAGAGGAGAAAGTGCGTCTACAGAAGCGTATCGCTGTTCTACAAGAGAAGGCGTGCAGCGGGGCTGCCGCAGAAGACACAGTCAACCGACTCAGATGCGGGATTGACTACGAGTGCTACCAAATGCAGCCGGGGTGCCGTAGAGTAGCGTCAGAGGAAGCTGCTCGACTCAAAGAGTCTCTTAACCTTAGCTCCTTATTCAAGGACACTACTCAACGGTCTTTCTTAGGGTTGAAGAGTTATTTAACTCCAAATAACTCTTAGGTTTCTCAAAATCCAAACTGTTTATTATCTTTTGTTTGCGGCCATGCCGCCTAGGGGTAAATAGATTTGTTTAACTATCTAACATAGTTAAACCCAGTCAAATGCAAAACGTGTGGCTTCCAGCCCACGTACGGAGAGTCTGTTAACACTCCAGGTACTCCGTGCCCTAGCGTGTCACACACATTGTAACCCCGTTACAAGGCGGACAAGCTGGAAACAGCAATTGTTGACATGTAGAACAAGAAGAAGAGACAAGAAAATGAGGAGAATAAGAAGAAGCGATTAAAGCACATCAAATAAACATTTATTATGGCCTCGACATGTTGTAGTCTTGAATATGCTCCATCACTACTCGGCGGAGGATGTGTCCATTCTGGATTATTTCGTTGATGTTGTTGTCAGCAACGGTAGCATTATAACTACAGTTTTCAAGTGAATTAAACTCTCTCACCGCTACACTAGTGCTCGGTAAACCAGGTGCTGGTTGTAAACCAGTATCAATGCAGTAGTTATGCAGCTTCATGCACGTTTTGATCACTGTTTTGTGAATTTTTGTCGACGGCCAGAGGTCTTCTGGATATTTGCCACTTGCTTACAAGCAGCCCAAGTGCCATCTCAATTTTAATTCTCAGCTGTGAGATGTAGAAGTTGAAGTAAGAGTGATCCCGTGTCTTAATTTCTGGTTTGGTGAATGGTATCAGCATAGACTGCGCAAGCAAATAAGCATTGTTCCCAATGAAAACGTAGCCGAAAGGAAGCTTGTCGACGTCCGAACTCAGACTCCATTTACTAAACGCGACACTGTCCGAAACTTTGCCGGGAGAATTAAAACAGTATCCTGTGAATTTGCACGAGGCATCGCAGAGGGCTTGTACGTTTATCCCACAGGTAAGATAGTGACCAGAAACAAAAGCTAACACGTCCGGCACTTCGTTCGCGCTCGGAGCTCTGACAATACATAACCAGCCCAAAATACAACCAACGCAGCCAGTTATTATTTGATTGGAGCTGATACAGTTAAATGAACTTGCAGCAGCTTCGATAGCTGGCTTACTGTAGAGAGGAGCAGCTATTTGAAATCGTAGGTGCTCGCTTATAGCGTTCATTGCTTCCACCAGGATATCGTAGGAGGCAGATTTACTAACACCAGCCAGCGCTCGAATACTTTTATAGGAACCTCCAGCAAGCCCATCTGCACCATTTTCACGACTTTTTTGGGTTTGGTTCCTGTCCTGTTCTCCGATTTCGTTACCGAGCGCTCCAATGCTGGCGTAACTATACCCACCAAAGTGTAAAATGCGGCTGCGTGCATTCGGTAATAGCACTTGAATTGGCCTTCAAGCAATAAACGTTCTCGGTGCGGGACCCATTTTAATCGTTGGCGAGGAACCACTGTTGCACGACTACGTTTGTGCACTTGGGCAGCGACGATTCCGAGACGATCAATACAACCCTGGAGATCTTCACTGCGCTGTTGGAAGTCTGCTGTTGTGAGCCGTGATCCAAGAACGGATTATGAGTCCAGAGGAGGATCACCAGGTCAGACACGAGGCATTAGATGTATTTTCGTTAGCCAACCAGAATTGACAATTGCGGATCATGACCACGCCATGATCCCGTTAGGAATGGCTCAAAAGGCAGCAAAATACCTTGTAACTAGCCAAACGAACATGATATACGACTTAGGGAAAAGCACAGCATCCATTGTTCGGGACTTAATCAGCAAAACGGAGCCAGATACCTCATCAGGACGTGCATACAATCATAGATAGACACAAAGCATTGTTTCGTATTTACATGCATATAAGGCTTTTATTCTCCGAACTCGAATTTATTTCAGAGTCTACCGAGGATCCGATGTTCCTCGCATAATTCATATAAGACCCTATGGAGATACCCTCTTTACATTAATTTTATTGATGCTCTTCAGTAAATGTATTCGGAAAATGAATATCCGTATAAATATTCGAAAAACACGTCCCACCGTAAATTAAATGGCCAGCTTGTTTTAAGAGTTTATTCGTCACTGTCCAAATACTGTATAACATTTGTGCATCCAGACACCCCTAAATTACATGCAAATATAAAAAACCGATTCAAATCATACGTTTATTTTTTTCATGCTAAAAAAAAAAATGCAAATCAAGTATCCTGCGCATTACTTTTCTTCGGTTGGCTCGTCGATGAGTTGAGTGACGATGTCGTCGGATTCACTGACAGTCTCCTCGACAGCGTGGAGATGCTCAAGCTCTTTTGCTACAATGGTCTCGGGCTGGGTGTTTGAATCCTTTTTGAGCTTGTAAGTGAAGCCACTCTTAATAACTTTAAGGCCCACTGATTGCCATGCCATCGTGGCCAATTCAATCGCCTCACGTCTAGAAGGTGGTTTTAGCCCTTGGCCTGGAGCTGTAACATTAGTCGTGATACAGGAACTCTATCACCGCGAAGCGAATTTGCCCACTCTACAAGCCTTCTTCTCCCTCAGTGAAAATTGTGGTTGCTGTACCTTTTTTCTATCGGACCTGTGGCCGCAGACGCTGCCATTTGTTCAATATGACTTCTGTCCTTCTCCCACGCGTAGATGCGTTTGAGTTGCGAATCAGCTTTGCCGTGTTGAGGTGACTATAGTACTTGTCTAGTGTTGATAACATGCCGTTATCTTTTAAAAAGTTTATTATCTCTCGTTTCTTCGATCGTGTCTCGTAATTTCTACTGTATCCTGCAGAACGTCGGAGCTCGCTTGCGGCCTCGTGTCATCGTGACTGGTGGTAATAGAGAGTGTGAATTTCCCCTTCTGGTTGAAGCATTTGTAGCTATTGGATGAAGTATAACCTGTCTCCGCAGTGTACAGCGGAGTTAAACTGGCGTTCATACCAGACTATTCGAAATGTAAGTTTTATAAATAATTCAATGTTTTATCGATAAAATACGATATTATTGTGAATATCTGAGTATTTCAGCTGCGAATCAGTTGCATGCAAAATGACACAGTTAGATCCGAAAATAGCGCGGCTTAGAGTAATTATGCGGTTTTATTGCGAAAGCGCAATTGTTCGCTGCATATTGTGTTGTACAGTATATATCACAGATATCCAAGCTACACATCCATACAATAGCGATGCCGACAATGGCCGACAGTGGCCGACACGGTCGTGATTGGCGGAAACATGCAGTATTTCATCCAATAACCAATACAACTCCAAGTCCAATTCAATTGGAGAAAAAAAGGCACAGAAACCATGGAAGAGGAGCGCCTGTATCCCGAACGGGGGTCCACACAACGGAAAAAAACGAAAAGAGAACGCAGGAGCGGCGCACGCGTGCTTGGGGCGTCCGCAGGCGGGGGGGGTGGCGGGGCCCTCCGCAACGAGCAGCAGTCCGACAGCAACAGACACACACCGAGGACCTTCAACAAAGTACGACAACACTGAAGAAGCGCAGAAGGTAGGGAGTGCTGTACGTTTTGTCTTGTGGTGCGAACTAACGAAAGGTGGATTCTGTCAGAGTGTTTGTAGGTCTGAAGGGATGAGTATGCAGTTGACGAGGGGCAATGGAAACTTAGTGTGCTGTTTCTAGTGGAACTTTGCTGTTTTGCCCCTTGACATCTTGTTGCTGGACCATGTAAGCTTGGTGTGCTGTTTTACAGCGTGATCCTTGCTGTGTGATGTCGTTGGTAGCAAGGTGTTACGAAGGCTTGGTGACATGGTAATATATGCAATTGATGTTGTGCTTATCAACTCTTTATGTCTGTGCTAAGCATCTGCATACCTGCGGAGACGGCGAAGCGGCTGGCGACGTGAACTTGGAGCTTCAGCGGAAGGACGACGGCGCTCGCGGGTGTGACCGGCTTCGTCTTCTATGAAGGCTCGACGAACCTGGGCTCAGCGACGGCGGTTGAAAGCCGCAACCATTCTTGGAGGAAGGTTGGCTGCTGGCTCCTCGGTTGCTTCCCAGTCTGTAACATACACACGCTGCCCATCCCTGACGTAGGAATCGGTGATGCTGCGGACGTAGTAGTTCCCTGCTGCCAAGGTCTCGGTCGTCTTCGTCTCTTCGTCGCTACTACCGCTATCGTCGCCAAGAGCTTCACGCAGCGTCAACTTTGCCTCGGCTACGTGCGGCGGTGGGATCCAAATAACGTCGCTCTCACTGTCGCTGTGGTCGCTGTTGGCAGTGTTATTATTTGGGGGTGTCGGCTCTTTTTTTTGGGCGCGTGTTGAGCCTGCATCGAAGCGCGTTTCCTCGCGACCATTAGAAGGTGGCTGCTGCTTCTCGTCTGCGTCCAAGGTGGATACGCTGTCTTCAAGCGAGTCGGTCGTAGCGGTATTTTCTGCTCCCATCGGTGTCGCTTTATCCTCAGCGGCGTCACTCAGCTCACGCAGTAGGCCTGGCCATGCTTTAACGTGGCTACCTTCGATGCGGTGCCGTCCACCTTGGATGAACGCCTCGGCCAGAAGACTGGTGAGCTCGCTGGATTTTGATTCAACTGGGGGAAGCTTGAGTCTTAGGAGTCGAACGGCTTCGTCCGAGAACTTTACACGAGGGTAATTGTCCTTAATTAAAGCTCTAACTGCTCCTGTAAAAACTCTACGACTGAGTGGTCGCATCTTGCAGCTGCAAGTTTGACAATGAAGAAACTTTTAAACAACGATCCAGTAACTGAGTATTCAATTTTAGCTAGGTCCCTTTTCTAAAAATAAGAATGAAGTCTTTTTTTTTCTAAAAATAAGAATGAAGTCAAACATCTCAATCACAAAACATATTTTCATATTTTGTTGTCTATTTGCGGTTAAACACCTCATGGGTTTCAACTGATGCGGGGTCAATTATACCACCGATCGCAATACGAGCACGGAAAGCATTAACATGTGCATCAAGCTTACCTTCACGGTAAAATTTGCGCAGTTGTTTCAGTACACTCGAACCATTTTTCCGCTTTGCCCCGCATTCTTCAAAAAAACTTGTACAGTTCTTCTTCGGCCTCCAAGCCAACACGTTGAACTTGGTCGCAGTAATCCGGAGAGGTATCATCGAGCACGAAGGCATTCGGAAGAAACAGCTTCATGTAGTTTACGGTGTGCTTGTAGGCCGACTTCTTTTGAGGATCGGAGCATACATTCCACAGGCGCGGGGTCTTCGCATACCACTCAAACCAAATAGCAGAAGGGCTCCTAGGTAACGCCTTCCTTCCACACCCTTTTGGATTAGTGCGCTAAACTTCGGGTGACGACTGCCCTGTCGTGGGTTCACGATACTGCTCAGTTCGACCCGCTCGCGTCTCAAGCGCTGTGATCCTTTCGGATAGAGCTCGGTTCATCGCCACCAACTCTCCAATTATGCGGTTTTGGTAGTTTATGAGTTTGTCCTCACTTGTCAATTTCTCGGCATCCCCACTGGATTCCTCAAGCTCTTTCCGCGACGCCTTGCTTTGAAGTTCGGAGCTCCAGGCCATTACTTGCGTTTTGGTCAACCCAACTGTCATCAAACATTGCCGCGTCCTAGCTGCGTACAGGCACATAGGATAACGTTCCAAGACCTCTGGAAAATACTGGATCAACGAAGCCGCAAGGACTTCAGCGACGCGGCTGTTGAGTTTTTGTCGGGGTCTTGAGTGTTTACGCTGGATTGAAATAGCAGGTGGCTCAGCTCCAGCGCTCTTTGTCTGCTTGCGTAATCAAACCAAGATAACGTCGGTACTGGAGGCTTCTTGCCTGAATCCCAACCGCTGAGAACGCGAGCTACCTTCTGATCTTCGCTTGTTGTGTTGAACACGTACGCAAACGCCTTATTCGTTGCTGTCATATTCCATGAGCCCCGATCAAAAATCCACTGAGCACTAAGAAGTGGGTCGCTGTTGGCATGCTGCGCTCCGCCGCGTCGGAACGAATG